CAATGACGTTTTCCCTCCACTTTACATTTCTAGCTTTCAGAGACACGGACATGATTGAATTACGGAATAATGAAACGAAATTCAGTACCTAATTAAGAAGTAACAGAAGCGGCAATAATAGTTCACGGACTTCATTCCTGTGATTCCGTTTGAAATAATGAGAGTCGTTGAAAAAGTTGCTTTCACCGTGCGGGAACCCTATGAACTCTGCCTGACTTCGCTGCAGTGGGCGTGGGTCTCGCTCCGCAGGTGTCAGTGAGCCAGGGGACAGGTGCGGACACTTCTCAGGTCCCCGATTCCGACGGCCACACGTGGGCAGGTCCAAGGGGGCTTTCCACAGTCCGTGCTTCGCCCGGGGCGGATTCGCTTGCCGATGGACGGTTTGCGGAAAAGGTCACACACCGAGGCTGACACGGTCCAGTTTCTGCTCCCCTCCCTACCCACCCTGGCTGCGTGTTACGTCTGGATAGCCACAAATGCGAGCGGCACTAAATAAGAAGGAACCGTGCTATTGTCAAAACAAAACGAAAACCGAAAATCGAAAAACAAGAAAAACGAGCCAGTTGCCAAAAAAAACAAAAACAAACCAAAACCTAAACAAACAACCTTATCGGACTGCTGATAACCCCATACGTCCTTCTGAGCCTCGTTATGCAAATGCAGGCATTTCGACATGTATAGATTACAAAGGAGCAAACGCACATCGATCCGTACATTTCCACGTGCGCTCTGGCCTACGAAGGACGCTGGAGAAAGTGAGGGATCCGGCGAGGGACGGCGGGCAGACGACGCAGAGAAGCACCAAGAGAAAACCAGTACCCAGCGCCGTGTCCGCACAGAAGCCGAGCATAGAGTTTGTACGAGAGGCGTCCAGCGAGGCAGGGATGTGGGGACTCACTTAGGGACATGTGAAATCGTGTAACAAGGAACAAGGCTATTTGTGTGCTTGGCAACAATGTAAGGAGTTGAGATTGTAAAGCGCTGGCAAAAACCGGGAGGTAACTGTTCACATGGCAATCACTGCACATTCCTTGCTACAGTTTAGCAGAGAGTTCTGAGCTGTGAGAATCGCATTGTTCTACTAGATAAGTAATCTGGCTAACCTCGGTTCTTGACTACTGTCTTTCTTATTGTAATGTTATAAATAGTGTGTTCTAAATAAACTCGGGGACACAGACACAGCTTGATTCTGTGATCCCTCCTGCAATTCTGTCTGTCTTCTTTCTTTTCCTCAGTCCATGCTCCCCCTTCCAGGTACCCTCAATTGCTTCGTCGGCCGGCTCCGACACAGGGATCTAATTGTTGTTTCTTCCTTTCTCACAGATCTAACTGCCGGAATGAGGGGGGTGTCTCAGGGGCCGCGTCTGCTCTGAGACGGCCCGCTGAGCCTCAGCATTCGCTACCAGTGTTTGAGACACTTCGAGTTGTCCGGATGTTTCTTCTCGCAAGTGGCCTCTCATCTGGAGGACTCGTGATCGAACGAGTCACCGCCCGTGTTTTAGACGACGTTTGTTTCTGCGGAAGTCGGGTTCTAACTTGACTCTAGGACTCCGCCTGCCGCGAAGCCGGCTGCCGTGGCCGAGTGGGTGTCCGGTCACTTACGGTCAGGATTTTGTGTGTATTGGCTGGGTCCAGTTTTGGAAGGTGTTTGCTTGTGGGCAGAGTAATGAGTTCACACCTGTGTCACTCGCTTATATGACATCGGAGGGCTCAAGACCTCAAACCCCATTCCTAGTGCTTTCCAACTAAATTCTACACAAATTACCTGAAGATGAAGAACAAAGAGTGAAATTATGATATAGACTGGGAGGAGGGCTCCAGGTGATCAGCGCGCTGTTCGCATCATTTTCCTTGCACTCAAGTGTCCGAGGCGCTTCTGGCACTAAGAATAAGAATAAAATATAAAAATTAAGACATGGAGAAGGCAGTCTTCATATCATAAGCATGCACAATTAATAGTGTATTTTATTTATTTATTTTTATTGGTTGACCTCACAGATTGCAAGAAACCTGTCAGCTTGCAATCCCTTATTTTTTAATTTTTTTACGCCTACGGCACCTGGTGGTCTCCCATTCAAGTACTAACCAGGCCCGACCCTGCTTAGCTTCCGAGATCAGACGGGATCGGGCTTGTTCAGGGCTGCATGGCCGTAGACAAGAGTATTTTAATTAATTATGAATTAATAATGAAACTAAACGAAAGACACTGGTCATATTAAACTTACTTTAGAGGTCATTTAACTGAGGAAATGTCACTCCCGAGTGGCACTGTGACATCTCAGTGTTCCACCCACTTGAAGATAGCTGAGAACACCCTCCCTCTCATACATGTGAGTGTCTGGCTATCGGGATTTCTAGAAGCTCTGTACTGAAAACCGTCATTGGTGGTACTGATAAATTTCGCAGTCATTTGAAGTAGCGTTTGTCATTGCTCCCAGTAACTAGTCATCGGAATTTGAGATGAAAAATGTGAACAAATGCTTATAGCAAATTCGCGAGGTATAGTTTACATTCAAACACACTGGAGGTACCGTTTGACGAGTTTTGACAACTATGTGCACCTATATAATCAACATATAGAACCTTCGTATCACCCCGAAGAAGTTCTTCGCTGCCATTCCCCGGCCCCCTGATCTCCCTTGCCCGACCCCAAACACCCTCTGACCTGCTTCTGTCAATGGAGACCAAATTTGTCTTTTCATCCATTTCACCAAAATAAAATCGAAGCCTAGGCGCTGGGCGCGTCTAGCACACAGCACCCGACACGGAGCTCCAGAGGCCGCTCTCGTCATTAATCGGTGAGTGGCGCTCTGCCACGGGACGTGCCACGCTTCGCCGACTCAGGCCACTGTCGCCGGCTATCTGGGTTGTTTCCAGGCATCTGGCTACCGTGAATGAGTCTGCTATGAATATTTGTGTACAAGTCTTTCCTCTTCGATAAACACCTGGAGTGGCCTTTCTGGGTCATCGCTTTACATTCTCATCAGTGGCATCGTCGGCCCTTTTAATTTTAGCCATTTTGGTGAATGTGTGAACGGCCAAATGCATCACAGCAGAAATGTATTTTTCATTTGTTATATATAGCGAAGGGATAAAATCCCCCTAAAACGTCACTTGATCTTCTTTCTATGAGGCTACAAAATTTCCCCAAATCATGTCCTTACTTTACTCACATCTGAGCGTCTGTGTTTCAAGAGGCGCATCGAGCCTGTTTATAGCTCCGGCGACCTTTACCTGCGGCGACGTGTTTCCGGCATGTTGCCCCTCGCTTTCTGCGTAATCGTCTTTCTCTCCCCCATCCTCCCCGACTCCTCCTTCCTCTTTTTCCCCCACCACCCTTTCCTTCTCTAATGTAGAATTTTCTTTAAAATTCCATCACTTTCTTCTCCTGCGTCTCGGCGGGCAATACCATTTCTCTCTCTCTCTCTCTCTCTTTTTTCGATGGTCCCTCATCAAGGATCCTGCGCGTAACTAACACAGCTTTCCCTCGAGATTCTAAATTCAGTTGGAACCTTCTCCGCTTCCGCTGAGAGTGGAAGTTTAACGCGTCTCTCTTTCTTCTCTCCTCCGTCTCCCAAATGCTATTCTTTTCCAGAACGTTCTTTTCCCGGTGTTATTGGTGGTTATAGCCGTTATGATCTGTGCTGCGGGCATTTGAGTGATAATGATGGCTATTTCGCCATCGATGCTCGGGTTTTATTAGCTAACGTTCTCTCTCTCTGTCAGGGGCTGGATGTGAGAGTGGGCGGGGCGGAGGGTACCGCACCCGCGGGAGGAGCCGTGACGGTCAGACAGACAGGACGATGACGTGGGCAGCGAGTGGACAGACATTTCGCTTATGACAGTTTTGTTTCTACCGGTGGCCTCACGATGGCCTACGATTTGGATCTTCTGTCGTTTATGTCTAAATTCTATTCTAAAAATTTGACACAAGTCCATTTTCTGAAAGCCTTTCTCCATACCTGCAACATCATTTTCGGGGATTCTCAAAAACTCGTAAGACTATAAAAAGAAAAGAAATTTTATACATAAATGTAAGTAAAATACTCACCTCCAAAATCTGTTTGAATGATTTCTTTTTTCTCAGTAACAGTATGGTCATTATAGAATATTGTTGCAACACAAGTATAATTACTGTTGGGTTTAAAGTTGTCATATTCAAATCTCTCTCCCTCTTGACTAATGTTACCTGTAAAACATAAGTATCGCACGTGACTATATTATTACGATCTATGACATTTCACTTTTATTTAGATTTCACATTCGTAATTCATACCTTTCAGATTGAAAACCTATGCAAAGAGTCAAAATAATAAGGAAAAGATCGTCACTATCACGACGCATTATTTTGCCACACTCAGTTTTAAAGACAGCATTAGGAACTATAACTGACTTTGCGAGTGTCCTTCACTTAACGCATAGAATTCGTTCACTGTTCTTTGTACAGAAACCGAGACTCGGCCCGAGTCGGCCTTTACCACTGGGTACCTCAGGCCATTGTTTGGTCATTGGTCCATCATATGTCTGCTCCTGCTTCCCTCTCACTGCCGTGTCACAGCCAGACATCACCCCTGCGACAGGATGACGGTGGCCGGAGTCACAGGCCATGCCGTGCGTGCGTGTTCATGTCTGTCTGCCTGTCTGTCTTGCCAAAGACGGCCTCCCTTATGCCAAGGGAGGGAGAGTCCACTTCAATAGCTTCAAATAAAAAGGAGTAGGAATCATAAAATCCTGAATCCTTGAAAAGGAACGATAGCTCCATTCTCGCGCCCCGATCCATCCCTAGAGGCTCCTTCTAGTTTCTCCTCCCACTTTCCGTTCATCTGACTGTTCTAGAAGTTAGCTGTGTGTGAGCTTGGCTGGTGGAGGGCTGGCCGGCTGCACCGCTGAATCATCTGGTCTTACACTGGTTTTCCTTTCACTGCGTATGTATCGTCATTTTTCACAACACCTTTCTTTGATAATCTCTCCTACGATGCCTTGTGTGTAACAGTTGCCAAGGAAATGCTTACAAATTGGCTATTACTATTTCAAAAATTATTTTCCAGGGGAAGTATCTGTCTATTTTGTGAATTTGAGTGATATAGAGAATATAATGATTTGACTCCAAAGATACTACGGAGATAAAGAGAGGGAAGGAAGGAAGGAGGGAGGGAAGGAGGGAAGGAGGGAAGGAAGGAAGGAAGGAAGGATTAGACAATATCTAGCACAACTTTCTACTACAAAAATATTCTTACCACATTGAAACAGGTAACGAATGTCTTGTTCTTCACAATTAAAATCTCTAGTTTGTACCCAAGTTAAACAAATAGAAGTATTAGAGATAAAGAGAGGGAAGGAAGGAAGGAAGGAAGGAAGGAAGGAAGGAGGGAAGGAAGGAAGGAAGGAAGGATTAGACAATATCTAGCACAACTTTCTACTACAAAAATATTCTTACCACATTGAAACAGGTAACGAATGTCTTGTTCTTCACAATTAAAATCTCTAGTTTGTACCCAAGTTAAACAAATAGAAGTATTTGCTTTTTTCATCTCTGTACAGTACTGTAACGAAAAACTTTCAGGATCTGTTAAGAAGAGGGTATAGAAATAGAAGATTAATATTTCACAGTGTGTGCCCTATGCTCAATTATAGTCACTGAAATTATATTCATGATATAGACTTTGGCAAGCATTTAGATTACTTTGAAAAAAGACTGAACTCGGGGTTTTGTGTTTCTCGATCATTTAGTTTCTTCTTCTTTTTTTTTTTACATCACACATTTTGGAAGCATTTCATTCAGAACTTATGCTACTTTTCAAAGAAAAAGAACCCAAGCAAACATCTAGATAAAATTGCATGTTTTTCACATTTTAAAACACTCCCTCCATTTTGTTTTTATATTTAAATCTTCAGTGTCGTCCTTTACTCTTTGATTTGCCAGTGAATGATTATTACACAGAGTATGGGGAGTTCATTTTTTAAAAAATTGTTATTTTTCTGTTCTCCTCGAAAGTTTATTTCAGTACTATTTAGAGAAGATGAATAAGTTAAATGGCGTTTTTCAGTTTAAATATCACCAAATGTCACTAAATGGCTCGCTCCTCTTGAATCACAGACTATGTGAGAGATTCAGCGAATTCACGGTCTCCCAGCCCCTTCCCAAGGGCGGCGCTTCAGCGGAGTGGGTGCGACACCTCAGTCCTTTTCCACAGCAGCTGAGCTGGCACCACCAGCTGGACGACCTTCGCCTGACCCTTAACGCTCCTTTTTTTTTTTTTTGCGTTAAAGTAGGTTCGTCCTTTCCGCAAACATCAAATCCTTGACTTGGTGGTTTTCCCCAATACGCTGCAGACACACCTGTATTTAAACGCGCAGCTATGCGCCTGTCGATATTCAGTTACTGAATGAAGTGGGGGAGGGAAAGGGAATGAAATGCTGTGCGTCACCACACGGTGGGATGAGGCACGTGGCAGCTGCACGACCTCCCCTGCGGAGGGACTGCACGGAGCGGGTGACGGAGGAGAACGGACGGCCTCCGCGAGCTGACGACGTTCACTGGGTTAGAAGCACGAAACTCACCCGCTCACGTCACGCTACCTGCCTCGCCCTCGGCCCTGATTTCTCAAGAGTGCGGTTCCCGTGACCCCTAGAAGCCGCCGCACACACAGAAGTACCGTTTCTGTAAATATACGAGGGGTCATCGTTTGTATTTACCTGGTGGCACATGTAGTTCTAACTTCTTAGCTGACTCACACGAGTCACCAGTTAAATTGACCGTGATGGTGTCGCAGGCGGACAGGTTTGAGAGCTTCTCCTCTGGACACGGCGTAGGCTGACATTTCACTTCAGCACTGAATGTTTTTCTCCCGGTCTCCAACTGGTAAGCCACAGAGACATCTCTATACGCGTCATCTGAAAGGAAGGAAGACAGCGAGGATTCTCTTCTATGTTTCAGAACGAAAAAGCTACGTTCAGTGCAAACGCCTCAACGTGTGTTTTCAGAAACGTCAGATCACTAATGAAATACCCCCCAGGGACACGAGGAGGGGAGAAACACACGAGGGGGTTCCCTCCTCTTCTCCCGTGATTCCCTCGGCCGCCTTATCCAGGACCGCGGCTTGAAGGTTTGCATTTGGATGATTATCGGGCCGTGATGTCATCCTTCTGTCTGGACGGCATCCGACATGACAGCAAAGGCCAGGCCACCTCAGTCATCGCCATGAGTCTCGGTCCACGTAGAAAATCTGCCTCCAGGGGGAGCTCAGTAACCACTTGAATCGACGCACAAATGAACACTGTGTCCGACCAATGCTTCTCCCCGATTCCCCATTTCCCTCGCTTCTAAGGTGTGGTTCTCGACGACCAGTTTCTCCAAGTAGTCGAGACGCCAATTATCTGGAGAGCCCAGGGCTCGTCAGCCCTTTACTTATGCAAAGTCACCGATAATCAACTGCCTTAAACAACTAAACAGATGCCTTTGGCAAAAATATCTTCTCCGCAAACGTTAACTCGGTCACTCATTTCTCAAGGCGTTGAAAATTTTTAAGCCCTCGCTATGTTTCAGACACTGTCCCAACTACTGAGAATACAGACATTCGGCTTTCAGAAACGTGCAGTCTCACATGCGGACAGGCACAGACGTGAACTGCCGAAGACATGCAAACGCCTCCAACACTGTTATGTGCAAAATTATGTGGGAGCAGAGAGAGAGAGAGAGAGAGAGAGAGAGAGAAAGAGAGAGAGAGAGAGAGAGAGAGAGAGAGATCGAGAGAAGAGTTCTCTTCAGACTGGAGGGATGGAGGGGTTCTCCAGAGGAGGTGACCGTTAGTGGGTCCTTATGACTTAGAGGAAGAGTGAAAGCAGGTGACTGATCGTGAAACGTCTCATTAATGAAGCGAACGTACGAAGGCGGATCCGAACACTGGATATGTGGAGAACCCCCGGGAAGAGAGAGTGGGTTCGGAGGAATTCCAGGCCCGCGCTTGGAGCCAAACCGACGCAAGGCAGCGAGACAGACAGACAGACAGACAGACAGGACAGATACGCGACGTTCCTTCTTCCTGCCAGGCCTTGAGGTTTTGTCCACAGTCCGGATTGATCCTCACACGGACTCCTTGCCCCTCCCCTGCCCTGGAAGGACCTGGCTTCCGTTCCGTTTCACAAATGCCCCCCTGCAGTCCAGTGGCCTCCGCAAAGTTGTTTGGCTAGCGATCATTAAACCTGGTACTCAGAACTACGTCTGCATGGGGCATGGAAGCTTCTGGCCCCTGAAGGACGCTGGCTTTTGAGATTTGGAGGGAGCCATGGCTGAGGAATCACAGCCAGCGAGTTCAGCCTGTTGGGGACTCCTGGAAGCTTGGCATAAAAACGGGAGAATTAAAGTTATATCTGTGTGGGGCTTCTGGGGCACGCACTTACCACACGTCGGCTTAGGTGCAGGTGCAGGAGAAGCTGAAAGAGAGAAAGAAAAGAAAGTAAATTATTAAAACGTTATTTTGCGCTCTCTCTGCCCCAGGCGTTTCTGGGAAAGGGCGCTTTATAATCTCTCAGCTTTACGAACTGAGATCCGTCGAGTCAGGCTTAACGGATGCCGTGGGGTTCGCAGTGCCTCGTACAAAGTTGGGATCTCAAAACTTCAAATGTCATAAACCAAGGAGCCGATCTATAAAGCCTTTTTGTTAATTTACCCCCAAACACGATCGTGATCGTCATCACGTTAGGACGTTTGGGGTACAGATCGGACTGCGTCTGGCGACACGGCTGACCGTGCACGCGGCCGAAACCATTTGCGATGCCCTCATCCCCTTGATTCATCTCACAATAGATTTGTATCATTCTAACCCCTAGGGAGCTCGGTTTACACCTTTGTTTTTTTTTTAAGTCAGAAACGAGGCAAGGGGTGCGGCACGCCCCGTCCTCGGGCTTTTGTAAGCTCTTCGATCCAGAGGGACGGACACCTCCCTCGACACACCGCGCTGTGTCCGCGTGAGCACAGGATCCAGCTGAGGATGCGGGCGGGACCGTGCTCTGCAGAAGCCAAGCGCCCTCTGCTCGCCCAGCCTCTCGGCGGGAAGAGGGTGGGGGCGGACGGTGGCTGCTACGGGGCTGGGACCCCGTCGTCACGGCCACGTCACGCCCCGACGCCATCAGCCGTTGCACTGCACAGAGAGTCCGTGTGTCTGACCAACTGCCCTGCCCAGCCCTGACGGTTAGGACCCTCGGTTGAACTTTTCAGAGAAAGGACCGTTCGCGAGCCCATCCCAGCACGTGGTGACTGCGTGACTGAGGGTGAGGTTGTCACCTATTGTTGCGGCAGTGATGTTGAGGTCAGTGTTTGTTGCAAGGCTCTGAGTGGGTGGCGAAGCGGTCGTGAGGCTCGAATCTGCAAGGAAATGGACAGAAGAATAAAAGTTAATGAGTTTGCCAAACCGAAGGGCGAGGGGAGAAACATTTTACCCACGAGAATTTTCTAACCCAGTCTTTGCTAGAGGGGTTCTTCCTTCAGAGTGACACTCGCTTGTTTTCGAAATAAGAACATGAATCAAAGCTGTGCCTGCAAAGGGCCCTTTACGACAACTAATAGTTCAGGGGCTTTGAACTGAACGTCGCATCGGCGGAAAGCAAAGCAGTCACTCCTTGGCGTGACACTTACCTGGGCTGTCACCCTCCTCAACCTACTCTCAGGTACGACTCTCCTTATGTTAACCCCCAAGAAGGAAGCCAGTCACCTGTTGGTACCGGGCTTGTCACATGTCCGCTGCTCACAGTGATCTTACGAGGAGCAGTGTCCCCTCTGTGTTTACGGCAGGGAAAAGTGACACACGAGAAGCGTCGGTCACTTGCGCCGTGGCCAGCGGCAAGGCCGGAGAGGCCGGATCGGGCTCCGAGGCCGCGTGAAATGAACTCGGATGATGTGGCCAAGAAAACAAAACATGCCCGGGACGCGCTTCCCGGGACGTTCCTTCTGCCTGACTTCGCATCGGTCTGCGAGGCTTTGGGGCAAGGGGGACCTGTGGACAGTGCTCGGGGCGCGACGAGAGAGCCGAGGTCAAGCCTCGCGTTTCGGTCTCACGCGCGAGGACGCTTAGGACCCCGCAGTCCAACCTGAGGAGAGGTTCGTGGCGGCGGCGGCGGGGCGTGCGGG